CATTGTTGTTTGGCGGGTCCGGGCTGGGGATTCGAACCCGCCACCTTAGGTGTACGTGGCTGGCGCCTTAGCCGGTTGAGCTATAGGCGTCGAGCCGGAATAACAGTTTTTATAAGGATGAGATGAGAAATGTATGAGGAAGCACTGTGAAAACACTTTTCACAAAGAGGGAACAAACTTCTTAAAGTTACATCCTCCTGTCAGGCATATTCATTGTCTCCATTGGTTTTTATCATATTAGGGTAACAAAGCAATAATCAGTTTCTATAATCCCAGACTAATATTTGAAGGAGAGTAAGGCAATTCAAGTTCATTAATCTCCTATTCTGTTTGAAATGCAATACAAACAATGGGGGTATTCTGTTCTTTATATGAAACAACTGTCTCATATCCTTACAGTTCCTAAAAATCTAACAAGTCAGGGTGATACTGCATGAAATAGATCAGACCAAAGAGTCACACTTGGATTCTGTCCTGCTCTGCCACTAACTAGCTAAGTGAATCTGAAGAGGTCACTTATCCACTATTAGCCCCTAAAACTTAAGAGGTTTTGTTTTGATTGATTTTTAAAAATGAAATAATGCTGTTCTACCTAGAAGAAGATCAAATGAAGTAACAGACTGAAAAATGATCCTTAAATTATAAAGTACTAAATAAATGTAAGGTTACAAAAAGAACAGAAAAATCTATACTAGTATCTGAAATTTAGCTCATCTGACACAATGGGTTAAGAATATGGTGTAGTGGCTCAGCACCTGTAGCTCAGTGGGTAGGGTGCCAGCCACATAAACCAAAGCTTGTGGGTTTGAGCCTGGCCTGGGCCTGCTAAACAACAATGACAGCTGCAACCAAAAAATAGCCAGGCATTGCTGTGGGGGCCTGTAGTCCCAGTTACTTGCAAGGCTGAGGCAAGAGAATCGCTTAAGCTCAAGAGTTTCAGGTTGCTGTGAGCTGTGACGCCACAGCACTCTACCAAGGGCAACATAATGAGCCTCTGTCTCAAAATAAAAGAATATGGTGTAGCAAATAACCCACTTTTTATTCTTTTGCTACAAAGTTCTCATGAAGTAACTAAAACTATATGTATCTACATAAATGCCAATTTATCTTTTACCAGACTCAATTTCAACTTTTTAAAGAGTATAAGCATTTACAACTACTAAATCTATAGAGCTTTAAAAACACTTATGGTGGTGTTGCCTGTAGCTTAGTGGGTAGGGCGTCAGCCACATACACCAGTGCTGTCAGGTTTGAATCCAGCCTCGGCCAGCTAAGGCAACAATGACAACTACAACAGAAAAATAGCTGGGCGTTGTGGTGGGTGCCTGTAGTCCCAGCTACTTGGGAGGCTGAGGCAGGAGAATCACTTGAGCCCAAGAGTTTGAGGTTGCTGTGAGCTGTGACGCCATGGCACTCTACCGAGGATGACTTAGTGAGACTCTGTCCCCCCTCCCCCAAAAAGAAAAACAACCAGCCCCCCCCCCCAAAAACCCAGACACTTATGGTTACTAGGAAAATGATCCTTTGAAGCAGGAACAGATAAAATACAACAAACCTGAAAATTAGATAAGAACTTTGCAGTTATTAAAACTCTCTTAATAATCCATAAGTCTAGTGTTCATACACTTAATACACTTAGATCTATAATTTTAAATCATGTTTAGAAAAGAAATTTCATGCTCAGAAAATTCCCAGTGAGGTATCCAAGAGTAAGATGATCATTATAGAAATCAATGTAAAAATGCCATCTGTGTACTCCAAGGATGAACTTTAAAACTATCCAGTGAAATATCACCAGCATCACCAGTGTTTTTCACAATGTTTATATGTACATTTTAAATTATATTGAGTTAATAAAATCTTCCATATGTGCTTACCTGAACTGAAAGGAGTTAAGGTTTACATTAAAACAACCACTGAAATAATCTACAATATGACTCAATAGGAGAAAAAACAAATTATAGAAATACTAAAATTAAGCAAGGAAATTAATAGTTGTTTAATGAAAGAATCATCAGAAATGAATTTCATTTGAAAATAAATAAATTTCACAGATTATACAATCTGTTTCTGTTGCCCATACTAATCTTTGTAATTATCGTATTAAGTTTTTTATTAAGAAATGAAATGGATTTAAATAGAACAACTAAGCCAATTTAAAAATAAACCTCCTTCAAGAACCATACATTTCTTCACAGTAATTTCCCAGAGTTTAGGAAAAGAAAAGAAAGATAAGGTCCACCACAGAAGGATACAAGGGGCACAGCCAAGCATTTGGTTTTGAAGTCAAAGAAAATGCTCAATATGACTGCAGGTATGGTGGGTAGAGATTGTGAAAGGAGGTCACAGAATGAACATTCAGAAAACAGCTGAAGTGACCTTAACTGGGCCATATAAACACTATAATACTGCTTAATTTATTTCTTTAAACAACTCTTACTTTTTCTAATGACAGACTGCTCATTTCTGAGAAAACATTCCACTATTCTGCAAAAGGAAAATCTGTCTTCCTTTCATTAAGTGGAGCTTACCTTTCCTCTACCAGATCAGAGTAGAGCGCATCCATTTAAGTGGTGCCCCCCCGCCCAAACAATCATCTTTTACCTTCCATGATACTTCAAATGGATGCACACCACTTACCTAGAAGGGGAAAAGCAACCTCTGTCCCCTCATCAGTGCGTTCTGAAAAGGATAAGTAAAGGGAAGAAATCACAGGTCTTTTCATCTATTTACCATTTAATAATCTAGTTTACCCCCAGAGGTTTAATACTGAGTTCCCCAGAATAATAGCCTCTACTTCAATTAACTTTGTGCTAAGTATCTCTAAAGAAAGACCCTAGGCTCCGTGCCTATAGCTCAAGCCGGTAGGGCACCAGCCACATACATCAGAGCTGGCAGGTTCAAATCCAGCCCGGGCCTGCCAAACAACAATGACAACTACAACCAAAAAATAGCTGGGCGTTGTGATGGACACCTGTAGTCCCGGCTACTTGGGAGGCTGAGGCAAGAGAATTGCTTAAGCCCAAGAGTTGGAAGTTGCTGTGAGCTATGACACCATAGCACTACCCAGGGCAACAGCTTGAGACTCTGTCTCAAAAAAAAAAAAAAAAAAAGAAAGAAAGAAAAAGAAAGAAAGATTCTAGATGGTTTTCTGTATCCTAACTAGAATTCCCTTTTGCTTATTTTTTTTGTCTTGAGACAGTCTCACTATGTCACCCTTGGTAGAGCACTGTAGTGTCACAGCTCACAGCAACCTCAAACTCCTGGGCTCAACTGATTCTCCTGCCTCAGTCTCCCAAGTAGCTAGGACTATAGGCACAGCCACAACGCCCGGCTATTTTTTGTTGTGATTGTCGTTGTTTAGCTAGCCCAGGCTGGGTTCAAAACTGCCAGTCTCAGTTTATGTGGCTGGTGCTGTAACCACTGTGCCATGGGCACCGAGTCATCCTTTTGGTAATTTTAACCCATAAGTCTTAATAATATCTCATAAAATTATGCCAAAAAATTCCTTTTCCTTTGTGGCATTTACAGCCTTCAAATATTTGTAAGTTTACATTCTCCTTTAATCACTGTTTAAGAAAATTTAAGATAGAAGTTCTCTACATATTGCCTCATAAGTCAGCTTTCCTAATTCACATTACTACTCCCTGAACTATTTCAAATCACGAGGTAATGAAGTGTTCAAAAGAGAAAAGCAGTATTCCAGATGTGGTCTCATCAGAATATGAAAGAATCGATTATCCTTCCTGCTCTACTTCTTCATATATGCCATCCGAAAATCTCACTAGTACTTTGCTGCCAGACCACATTTTAAACAAATACCTAATCTGCTTTCCACCAGAACTCCTGAGTATTTACAGGGATTTAAGGGTTTTCCACATTTTTTTAATATTAAAATAAAATAGCTGGATTTCATACCTTCTTGTCCCCTTGACCCATTTCCCCCCAAATTAAAAATCCAGATATATAAAAATAGTTGTTCTTAGATAAAAGACATTTTATCCTCTTTTTACAACTGCTGCACTATATTCACAGATGTTATTTATGGTCAGCTTTGCAGTTTTATATTACTTGCAAACTTTGTAATATGTTATTTTTTTCCCTAGTTATTAGAAATAGGGTAAATCCCAAGGATGATATAAATTTTCCAGAAAACAAATAGGAAAAGAGCTAACAATAAAAAGAATATATTTTTTCCCAAACAACCATCCCATGAAATCCAGAAAGGCTCTTCTACCTTATTAGTACATTTTAACAGGACACCTACCAGTAGTGATGTATTCAGCAACTAGTTCTGACTCTACCACAGCAATTGATGGACTCTCAGGAGAATGTCTTTTTTCTTGAGTCATCTGAATAGGCACTGCCATTTGACTCAAGTCAATAGTGGGTTGTCTTGGTTTAGATTCCAACTTTTCCTTTACTGCATAAAAAATCAGAAGAAAAGTTAACTTTTATTACGAATAAGAACCAAACCCAGAGTTGCCCACGGGAATAATGAACCAGACCTCTGGGGTACCACACTGGTAGTGACTAAGTAGACAGTGAAAAAGAACAAGGCAAGCTCAGCGCCTGTAGCTCAGTGAGAAGGGCGCTGGCCACATACACTGAGGCTGGCGGGTTCAAGTCTGGCCCAGGCCTGCTAAACAAGGACAGCTGCAACCAAAAAATAGCCAGGCATTGTTGTGGGCACCATAGGTACTTGGGAGGCTGAGGCAAAAGAATCACTTAAACCCAAGAGTTTGAGGTTGCTGTGAGCTGTAACATCACAGCACTCTACTGAGGACAACAGTGAAACTATCTCAAAAAAAACAAAAACAAACAAACAAACAAAAATGAACAAGGCAGACTGCTATGCATGGCTGTACAGTGTATAATTTGTATAACCATACTCATCAGCCTGCCAAGGACTCATATAATCATATAAAAGTCTTTCCCCTATTATCTTTAGGATAACCTAGTGGGTGTTTCTCTTGCACACACTCCCCCTTAGGGTATTTCTTTTACCCTTCTTCAGATAGTCTTGAGTTCTTCAGCCTAAAAACAAAGGGTGAATAAGCAATACACTGCATGATTTGCTCTAAGGCATATCTCCCCAGGAGTACAACACAATAACCAGTTTAATTGAAGCTACTACCCATATCTCCAAAGAAGTGCTACAATGTCTTCAATGATTCTTAAGAATACAAATTTTCACTGTTAGGGGAAAAAAAAAAGCCTGGAATAGAGAATGGTTTCCATGAATACATTCACTGAATTCACTTACAAATTTTTCTACAAAATCTATTCATTCAAAATTCTCGTCTCTATAAGGAATTAATGGAAATAGCTCAGCACTACAAAGACAAGGAACTAAGGAAATACCTAAGGTCAAAAATGACACCAATAGGATTAACTGAAGACTGATATTAAATACTAGTAATCTTTGGATAGTACACAGTGGAAGTAATAATTAACAATAACCAGTGACTAACTCCACTGAATGATCATTCCTACCAAGGACATAATGTGACAAAAGCAAAACAATCATTTAAATAAAGAAAGCAAAACAAAATAAAATGAATACAAAAGTCACCCCATGAGTAGAAAGGACATTAAACCAGGAGCCAAAAGGTCTGGTCTTGCTCTGCCACTAACCAAATGGATAACCTCTCTAGATCTCAGTTTACTTATTCATAAAATGAAAGGGTTAGATGAGGTCGCTGCTAAGGTCACCAATCAAACAATCTTCGATTTATTATAGAAAAGTCAGTGTAACTTCCACAGGTTTGTTCTAGAATTTTTCAAAGGTATTTAGTAACCAGAAATACTGATAGGACCTTCTTATATAAGGACAGCTTTGTATGGAAGCTCAAGTGTCTAACCTATGCTCTATGAAGAAATAAATCTGAAGATAAAGTTACAACAAATCAAAATGTTAGCAAGGGCCAATAATAACCACAAAACTATTCAACAGTATCAAGGAAGATGGCAGGAGCCTTCAATCTGCCTCCTGCTATTCCTGAACACAAATGGCAACTACACTGCACCTATCCTTGTGCTTAGAGGCGATATCCTTTTTTGTTTATTTGTTTTGAGACATGATCTCTGTCGCCCAGTCTGGAGTACAGTGGCACAATCATAGCACACTTCAGCCTGAACTCGTGGGTTCAAGTGATCCTCTTGCCTCAGACTCCTGAGTAGCTAAGACAACAGATATACACAACCACAAGTAGCTCATTTCTCTAATTTTTTTAGAGATCTCTTATTTTTATAGATTTCTTTTCTTTTATTTTTTTCAAGATTTCTTATTTTTTAGAGGTCTTACTATTTGCCCAGGCTGGTCTTGCCTCAGATTCCTGAAGTGCTGGGATTATAGGTGTGAGCCACCATGCCTGTCCAGATCTACTTCTTTCTGGTAGCTAGAAACAATAGGACTTTTTAAGCAGGAGAAAAAAAGAGGACAAAGTACTGTCATTTTTTTTCTTCTTTCTAAGACAGTCCATCTGTGCTTCAGCACTCCTGTGCACATCTTAATGAATTAACAAGTAAATAGACTGTACCAATGATTATAGACAAGTCCAGAGGGGGGAAATGTGCTCAAAGAATGGCAAGCCCCCCCCCAGAAAAAAACACAAACAAGAAACCAGAGGTAGTATTTTAGCACAACCCATATCTAGAGAAAACATGCTTCATTCAACCAAGCATGTGAATTCATACCTGTTGTCTGTTGAAGTTCTAATAGAGCTTTGATTGTTGAAGTAGCTGACTGTGATTCACTGGATACATCCTGATAAATTATGGTGGGGCTAGTCTCCATTGCAATCTCATGTTCTGACCAATCCTGACGTCGGGAAGCAATTACATGAACTACAGGCTGGGAATCTGTTTTATATTAATCAAAAAAAAAAAAAACCCAAAAAACTTTATAAACAAAGTTTCTCTTAAAAAAAGAATAAGTTTTTTTGTTTTATCTTTGTGTTTATCATAAATTTAATATTTTATCTCCCTAAGAAGACTATAAGCACGCAGAGGGCATGTCTTTCACTTCAGAATTCACTTCTTCATTCATTCATTTGTTTATTCATGAATTCCACAAACTAGGCACTTATGTGTCAGAATCTATATTTAGTATTGAGGCTATAAAGGAGCTCACAGAATAATTAGAGGATGTTTAAGAAGCACAAAGTTGTCTGGTTTGAGAGACTGATGTGTAAAAAGACAAATTACCATGCATTGTGATAACTGCTATACAAATAGGTGTGCATTGGTGTAAGTGGGTGTATATTTATGTGTAGTGAGAACAAAATGCTATAGGAGTCTTATTTTCCCTTAGGCACCTGAAAATATATTCTGTATTACAGCCTGAGTATTCAGTCAACTCATACTGGATGGCTGAATTACTAAAAAGAAATCCTGTCCATTGCCAACAAGATAGATAACCTAGAAGAAGCATGATATAACAGCACAGGTATAACATGGAATTTAAAGTCTTGGGTTGTATCCCCCACTATCGATTATAAGTAAGTTGATTCTGGATCTTAGTTTCATTATAAAAGCCTGGAATTGAGAATGGATATAAGATGGGAACAATAAAGTTACTCTAAAATGGGAACAATAAAATTACCTCCCTACCTCATAGGATTTCTGAGGATACAATAAAATGATACATGTAAATGAGCTTTATAAACTATGAGGAACAATAAAAATGCTATTGCGGTGGTGCTGGTAGTCTAGAAGGTCTCAATTCTGAGACTTCGTTAGTTTTATAATAAATTACAGGCCTAATTTAAGGCTGATTATTATATATCCATGCTATACAAGTATACATAATATGCATCAAATGAAGCAACAAATTATTGAATCTTCTACCTATAAAATAAGCAAGCTGGATTAAATTATTGTTATTATTATTATTTTTTTGAGACAGAGCCTCAAGCTGTCACCCTGGTAGAGTGCCGTGGCATCACATCTCATACCAACCTTCAACTCCTGAGCTCAAGGGATTCTGCTGCCTCTGCCTCCCAAGTAGCTAGGACTATAGGTGCCTGTCTATTTTTTGTTGCAGTCATCATTGTTGTTTGGCAGCCTGGGCTGGATTCGAACCCGCCAGCTCAGGTGTGTGTGGCTGGAGGCTTAGCAACTTGAGCCATAGGCACTGAGACTATTATTATTATTACTTTTTTTTTTTGAAACAGAGTCTTATTTTTTTGCCTTCAGTAGAGTGCCAGGACATCATAGCTCACAGTAACCTCAAACTCATGGGCTTAAGCAATTTGCTTGCCTCAGCCTCCCAAGTAGCTGGGACTACAGGTGCCCACCACAACTCCTGGCTATTTTTGGAGACAGGGTCTCGCTCTTACTCAGGCTGGTCTTGAACCTGTGAGCTCAGGCAATCTACCCACCAGGACCTCCCAAGTACTAGAATTATAGGTGTGAGCTACCACGCCCAGCCCTGAATTAAATTACTAACTTCCTAGACTCCTTTGTCCAAGGCACTGTAGAAAAAAATGCTGAGAATATAAAGGCATGATACTTACTGCCCAATTTAGATTATAATGGGTGAAACAGAAAATAAAGATATTATGGCTTTGTATCTTGAGATAAATATCAAATGATTAGGGCAAACCCAGACAAATATATAGAAAGTAAGAGACTCCTTTGAATTGGATGCTCAGGGAAAGAATCAGAGAAGAATTAAAATAATTTACAACCCCAAATCAAGAATAATTATAATGAAAGTTCAACCCTCTATGGATCTTATATTTTTGGAAGCCACAAAATTGTCCAAAAATGTTAAAGCAAGGGTAACAACTTTTCAAACCAAACTTTTTAGTTTTTAAAAAAACCAAAATCTATATACAATAGATTTAGAATTTTTCTTGTTGAGACAGTCTCACTTTTTCACCCTGGGTAGAGTGCTATGGCATCATAGCTCACAGCAATCTCAAACTCTTGGACTCTAGTGATTCTCCTGTCTTAGTCTCCTGAGCAGCTGGGATTACAGGCATCCTCCATACCTGGCTAGTTTTAGAGACAGGGCCTTGCTCTTGGTCAGGCTCCTGAGTTCCAGCAATCCACCTACCTTGGCTTCCTAGAGTGTTAGGATTATAGGCATGAACCACTGTGCCCAGCCTAGATCTAGAATTTTTAATTACTACTAACAAACTATATTCCTCCCCACCAGTACCAACCAACCACTGGTAGAATATATGCCACACCAGGATTGTATAATTTCCATTAAACTTCCCCCAAATACAGAAGACTGAAAGACACTAACCTGTAATTCCAAATGTCATATAAAGCATATAATAGTTTTTCTTTACTTATTATAAGTAGCTATGTAGAGTTTAAACTTAAGAGAATTGTTACTACAGAATCATTTATATAACTTAAGTTCTGAAACTTACAAGTTCATATGATGATATAGGTAAAGAATGACTTTGCAACTCAACTCTATGAAACACACTGAATATCCAGAGGAAAGTAGGGATTGAGTTTGTAGAGATAAGGTAGAAAGAGGCAGGAGATGGGAAACAAATTTCCACACTAGAGCATCATCATTCCAAATAACATCACTCTGTAAGTACTCGGGAGACTGCTCTCTTTCTATATATACTGAGAAAGAGAAACTGATCATGATAAATTATCTCTGCAACAATTCCAACACCTGTGACACAAAATGAGGGTGTGAACCTAGGTGAAATCCATCTCTTGAATGATGTTCCCCTCTACTTCTAACTATGCTTCAACAAATCTACTTTTTATAGGGTCAAAGGTGAGCGAGAATGCAAAGACTAGGATACCAGGAGCCTGACTTCATCAGCCTGACCACTCCGCTTATCCAGAGTACTTCCGTTTAGACTTCTCTACCTTTTTTGAGAATAGTAGCTTGCTGTCTTTCCTCATAGGTCATTTAACAAATATTTACTGGATATCTACTACATGTTAGGTACTAGAAATACAGACTTTTGTATTATATCCAAAGGCAGACTCAGGCATCTCCTGTCTTTATTATAAATAACCTATATTACACTTTAATAGAATCTTAAGACCTCTCAGTTAGAAGGAATCTTAAAATTTATTCAATGCTATCATCAATCCTATGCTAAAGTCTTCACAACATCTCCCCAGTCTGGGAACTCTAGCACTAGAGAACTCACTAGTTTCTAAGGTAGTTTCTTTATATCTGCACAATTATGACAATTACAAAGTTTTCTTATATTAAGTAGAAACAGGTCTTGCTGTGACTTCTACTCAATGGTTTTGGTGTCTGTTCATGTATCCACAAAGAAACTCTTTTCCTTCTTCCACATCACAGTTCTCAAGACAACTGACAACGCATAGCTCCCATGACCCCTTCCACCCAATTTACTCCCATCTCCTTTTCTTCATGAAGAGTGTCTTAACAAACTACTTCTCATATAAAATGATTCCAGATGCCTTACCCACCTAAATCATCTCTTCTAAACTAAACCTAAGACATCTATATCCCTTTTATGATGTAGTATGTACCTTTCCTCTGAAGTACTGTCATAAAGCACAAGGCCTTCACCTTGTTTAATGGCTAGACAGCATCACCCAAGACATTCTAGAAAAGATTAGTTCCTCAAGATGTTCTTTTAAAAAAAAAGGGGTTCCATGGTCAAAACTGGGGAACATTTACATTTTATTTTCCACTTTTCATCTTTCACAACATAGATTAATACATAATGGCCAGGAGAAGTTCTGGAGTAACTTGAAGTTATTCCCCACCCTCACTATGACCTCCTGAGATCATAAAGCTTCAGGAAAAATCATCCTTGAAACTGAGTTGTGCCCTATTCAAAGCAAGGTCTTTACGAGATGCATTTTTGCATTTGCCTCCTACCTTATCACAATATAAAGCCTAATCTTGGTTTTGTTTCCTTGTTCTCTTCCACTTTAATATAATTTTACATTTAATCTACCATTTAGAAATAAAGCAGAATAAGAACAAAGAAATCTTTAATACTTGTTTTAAAAAAAATCAGGAACCCAATAAGGCTAACTCATGCCCATGTGAGAAAGGGAAAAAAGGAAGATCCATTTAGAAAGGAAAGCACAGGAGCAACAGAAGCCATATGGCCCAATCATCAGTAAGTGACCTAGGCAAGTATGAGCTTGATCCATTAGGTTTGATCACCTAGCTACCTATCAATATCTAAGCAGTAGTTAAGGTATATACCAGTTAAAAGGTCCACCTACAAGGTTAGGAGGAACCCCAGAAAGAAAACAACAGTTTAGACTCAGGCAGCAAAAATGAGTCCATAAGGCTGAAGCTTAACCCTATGTCACAGTTATGGTTCTTGTTCTGCTGTTTGTTTACTCAGTGAAACTTAATGAGTACCTAAACTCATTGTTAACTAACCTCTTTATTAGATGCTGGATATATAAAGATGAGTAAGATCTTTGCCCTTGAGAAACTAGTAGTCTAGTGGAGATACAAACAGTTATAATAAGCAAACAAAGTACAAAATAAAATGGCTGACATTAAAATAGCTGATAGTACAAAGCATTATGAGAAGTAAAATGCAAAAGGAATGATGAATCCTCTAACAGTGATCAAGGCAAGTCTTAGAAGAGGGTGAAGATGAAACCATCTATTCTAGCCTATGAGGAAACAGATGAAGAATAAAACACGGGGCCTAAACTTCTCCTTAGAGGTGAAGGAATAGCAGGGGAAGTTTAGACACCACAAGTGGAATCGAGGCATTCCCTTGGCATAAGATATACTTATTCTAGGGCTTGGGTAGAGCAGGTCACCAGAAAAAGGATCTTAAGTCAAGAAAAGTTGATTCTTCCTTAAAGGAAAATGCCAACTATTAAATGTACAAAATAATATTTAGAAAATCATCTATGGATAC